GATATCAGGAAAGAAAAATTTCATACTGTATCACCAATAATACAATTCAAGTCGACCAAAACAAAACATTTCCGGAAATCAAGCAGCATTATCCGTATGACTATGTCCATACAGAAGGCAAAACACAAAAATCGCCAAAACTTCGTCAATATTGCTCCAATTTCGCCCCACTTGGGCTCAAAATCACCGCCTTGATTGGCTCTATCGATTGGCGGTCTTGCCGCATTGCGGAAGTTATGGCGCGAAAACCGCAGAGCGCCCATGTATTGCATGTTTTTTCATTGGAAAAATTACAGAGAAATGAAGCCCAACCTCACTGACCTCGATAGAACGGCGATCCTACAACGCCTTCTAGCATGCATGAGCGCAAATGGCAAGCTGCCAAATTATGTACTTGTATACAATGCCAAGTCCGAAATGCTAATCGTTTTGACCAATTGTAGTACAGATACAAGAAAAACTGTGATTGACTGACTTAAAATCTTCTAGTTATAGCCAATCAAGTTGGACTAACTTTTTTCTTCAACCATGCATTTTCAGGATGAAACCATGACGGCTTTTTCCGGGGTTCACTGTACCGACATGAGACCACTGATTGGCCAACACAACAGAGTTAATCTGCGCCTTTTATTTCTTGACCAGGACGGGGATAGACCGAACCCTCAACCAATTGAAGCGATCAGTACACCCTACTTTGGCAAGCAAGGAGTGTCCGAGGACACAGTGAACCCCGGAAAAAGCTGAGCCACCAAATACTGTATGCCGACTGCATCCAAAACATGATCTGTTTTATCGAATGCAACCACTTGATACTTCGAATACCAAGGCAGAAATTCATTCCTTTTGACCAATTGCAGTGTAGATTCTAAAGGAACTGTGATTGACTGACAGAAATTCTCCTGATTATAGCCAATCAGATTGGACAATCTTTAGCAAATTTAAAAAATTGATTTCATGGTGCCGGGATCACTCTACCTCCGTGACCGTGATGACGGTAAGCTAGTGAACGGTCAGCTGACCTTGTCAAAGCAGCACGTTGCGTGTGAGGGGTGAAGGATTCGCATGCGATCCCCATCAGGGATAGTGCGACACTATTTTGATATAGAAACAATTTCTAACGCCGCTCGGGGGCGTTGGGACCGACCACACGAGGCACTCTGAACCCCCCCCCTGACATCCTTCAGATGTGTCGGTTCCATGCGACGAGATCTTGAGCGGGCGCCCTGGCCTGCGCACGATGACCCCGGCTCGATCATGCTTGTGTTCGCGGCGGTCGAGGATTCTCGCATCCTGTGTGTGTGTGCGCGCCACAAACCGACTGCTGTGCATTGTGTGTGTGGACTCCAAGACAGGTGCACAGCGTGAGGGGGGAAAGGGCCACCATCGCTACCCATCGTCTTGGACAAACCCGCCACATCCACTTTAGCGCTGTGGTGGTGTAGCCCACCAAGTCGCCAGTCCAAGGTCTGCCTGGTCTGGTGCGGTCGAACGCCGGCGTTGTAGCGCGCGGTTCCACATTTGGCCGGCCAACCCTCCGTTGGCGTTAGCCATCGCTTGGTCCAACATGGTTGAAGTTGGCCCACCGGCCCCAACACCAAGTGCCACGGCCCTCACCAACTTCAACGATTCAGCCCGTACCGGTCCGTTTGCTCGAGTGCTGGCCATGGCCGCGGCTTGCCCAGTCTTCAACTCCTCGTGGGCGCATCGCCGGCGTTAGGTGGCTACCAGTCCGCCATAGTCCGTACAATGTAGTACGTGCGATCTCGCCACTCAACCCACATCAACTCGAGCAGTCCACATCGCCTTGTTGAAGTTCGCCGCCGCCACCAGGCCACGGCACTCAACCACGCCGTGGCACCTCCGTCCAGATGCTGACCACTAGACCACAAGTGGCGAGATTTCAATCCCGCAGCTGCACACGCACGCGGCCAATCACACCATGGCAGGAGCGCCTCGGGTCGACCATTGGCCCCAGACAAAGCGCCGTCCGTGGTCGCGCGCATCGATTGCCGCAGCGCTGGCCAATCCCCACAACACGGCGATCCCGTCGTTGCCATCAGCTCCAGAATGCGATACACTGTCCAGAATTATGGCGAGGACCTTACACGATGGATGGCAGCAACGTTGAAATCACTCTTCAATTCCCTTGGTCGTCGAGATGCTGTTGCACTTGGCGTGGGTGGCCGCCGTGGCGACGGTGACAGCGAGTGCGGCCCAGACGACGACGACGACGGCGGCGCCCGTCCCGACGTCTGGCGAAAAGCTGTTTGATGCGTGGAAACCGTTCACGACGCCGCTCGTGATCCCGCAAGTTGTCGACATGCGCAAGGGCGGCAGCGTCGCCATGAACATTGGCGAGACCCAGCACGCGTGGGGGTCGGGTGCTCCCACCGCGACGACCTACGGGTACGGCAAGGTCGGCGGCAACATCACGACGCCTGGCCCGACCATCCTCGTCAAGAAGGGCGTGCCCATCTCAGTCACGTGGGTCAACGCGATCCAGTCGGCCAAGCACTTGCTCGACATGAACGTCGAGACGACCCTGAACCGGCTCGAGTCGTCGTGCTATCCCAACTGCGGCGTCCCAGTCGTCACGCACGTCCACGGACTCGAGACGCCCGCCAAGTTTGACGGCCTCCCACACTACTCGATCTACCGCAACCAGAGCTACACGGCGCGGTACAACAACTCGCAGTCCGGGTCGACCAAGATGTACCACGACCACGCGATCGGGCTGAGTCGGTTGAACGTATGGGCCGGGCTCACGGGGCTGTACATCATTCAGGACGAAGAGCTCGAGGCGACGTACAAGTTGACCAACCTGGTGGACATCCCGCTCCTCTTTCAGGACAAGATCATCGCGCCGGACGGCACGCTCGTGTACTCGTCCGTGAGCGTGTGCCAGACGGAAGGCACCAAGTGGGTGTCGGAAGCGTTCGGCGCCGTCAACACGGTCAACGGCGTCATCATGCCGTACGTGGACATCCCGGCGAGTCAGGTCCGGCTGCGCTTTGTCAACATGGCGAACGCGCGCAACTACAACTTTACGCTGCCGTTCGCGGACAAGTGCCAGCGGATCGCGTCGGACTCGGGGTTTGTGGCCGAGCCGCAGCCGGTGGACCCGTCGGGCTTCAAGTTGTTTTCGCTCGAGCGCGCCGAGTTGGTGTGCGACTTTACAGACGTCCAGGTGGGCACGACGTTCGACTTGGAGGACACGACCGAGATCGAGTCGTCGTACGCGTACGACCCGCGGCTGCTGCAAGTGCGCGTCGTCGCGCCCAAGACGGCGACGGCCAAGATCGACGTGCCCAAGAAAATGACTGCGTTCAAGGACTTGGAGGCGCTGTACAAATCGACCAAGGGCAAGGTCCGGACGATCACGTTGGGCGAGATGGAAGACGACAAGCAGTGCCCGACCCAGCTCATGATTGTGCAGCACCAAATGGTCGCGAACGTGACGACGATCCACCACAAGCTCACGTGCACGTTGGGCAAGGTGGAGAAGTGGCAGTTCCGCAACCCGTCGGACGACGCGCATCCGTTCCACTGGCATTTGGTGAATGCGCAATGCGGCCCGGACGACAAGTCGATCAACAAGAACGAGCTCAAGGACGTGGTCGTGATCCCGAACGCGCGGCAGTCGCAAAACATCACGCAAGTGTGCTACGTCGCGTGTGTGCCGGACCAGTTTTTGGTCGAAGGGTCGTCGGTGGGGCCGACAGACTACGGATTCTCGACGGACGAGCCGTACCTGGCCCATTGCCACATCATGGAGCACGAGGAGAACTCGATGATGTCTTGGTTCCAGCTGACCAAGGAGGACGACGCGATGCCGATCGACGACGGGTCGGTGCCGGACTTGACGCCGCCGATCACGTCCGAAGTGATCTGGTGCGCGTTGGGGATGAGCGTGGTCGGCGGACTCGCCACGTGCTTGTCGGTGCTGGTGCTGTCGATCAAGCGGTTGAACTTTTTAGCCGGGGACACGGCGATGGCTGTCACGTTTGCGTTGTCGGCGGGGGTGATGATGTTCATCGCGCTGGTGGATTTGTGGCTGGAGGCGCTGGAAAAGTTGAACAGTGCGTTCGCGGTGGGGGGCACGGTCGATTTGGAAGCGATCGAGCATGGGTTGGCGCCGGCGGGGGCCGAGGCACCGGTGTGCGACAACAACTGCCACGGGAAAGCGTTCTTGGCCGTCACCGGGTGCTTCTTTGGCGGCGTGTTTATCATTGTCCTCATGGAAATCATTGTGCACCGCGTGTTCGACTTTCACGCGAAGCGGTTGGGCGACCAGTTGGCCGCAGCGCAACGCACCGCGAGCCCCGCCGTCAACGGTCCCCACGCGGTCGACGAAGAGCTGATTGTGAAGACTCCCACGGGAGAGCCCGGGCAGTACGGCCGGATGGGAGAAGACGAGGAGGAGGCGCTGACCGAGCAGTCGGAAGAAGAGCAGAAGAAGGGCCTCGGCCGCGCCGGGATCATGACGGGGATTGCCATCGCGATCCACAACTTCCCTGAAGGTCTCGCCCTCTTTGTGGCGTCGCTGCAAGGGTTGCGCAGCGGGATCGTGTTGGCTGTGGGCATCATCCTCCACAACTTTCCCGAAGGCGTAGCGATTGCCGGCCCGGTGTACTACGCGACCAAGAGCTACAAGCAAGCGTTGTTCTGGACGGGGTTGAGCGGGATTGCGCAGCCGTTGGGTGCCCTGGTGGGCTGGGCGACCGTGTCTGGCGGCGTGGACAACACGACGATGGGGGTATTGTACAGTCTCGTGGCGGGCATGCTTGTGTGCATTGCGGTCAAGGAGTTGTTGCCGGGGGCGTTCAAGTTTGGACCGAAGGTCTTTACCAAGAGCTTCTTCGCAGGCTTCCTCCTCATGGCCATCAGTGTCATCTTGCTCAAGTTTATGGGCTCGAGTTAGACAAAGCTGATTTATTTTCGAGTCTTAATGGACGTCATCGTCACGACGGGTTTCAGCCTCTCCTGCTTTATGTGGCGTGTATGGTCTGCCACAGATGCTCTACCAACCTAATCCCTTGGAAACTAAACGGCTGCACCTCGTGTCTTCGGCACTCTAGCTTGCGCTCGGCATCTCAAGAGCTAGCTAGCACAAGCTCTCCTCTTGAGCATGCAGCAGAACGCAAGGAAGCAGCATCGTGAGTAGACTTCGACGGGAGTCGACGGAGCGACGAAGGGGTCGGTCACTCATTTCTCTGGTACAAGATGCTCAAAAGTCGGGTTGTCTCGCTTCTTGAGAGTACAAGTATGAATCTTAGGCAAATACTGTCCAAAGCAGAGTAGACTAACTCGAGCCCATAAACTTGAGCAAGATGACACTGATGGCCATGAGGAGGAAGCCTGCGAAGAAGCTCTTGGTAAAGACCTTCGGTCCAAACT